CGTCGTGATATCTGTTACAAGATTTCGCACCTCATCTTCCACACCGTCAACAGAAATCCTGTGGTAATTAAGATCATAAGCATGTCAGACAGGAAAGGGAGACTTTAGCTGCTTTCGAGTTACGTACCTACATCGGACATTTACGTCAGTAATAAATGCAGAAAACAAAATGCCTAACAGCTCACAAATTCAAATACCAATATAAAACTTACTCACTGGAATCTAAAGCAAAAATTCAATAATGCAGTTGAATCCGATCTGTGCTATCACTTGAATTTCTGCGATGTTATGTATTTTCAATGCTGTTACATGTACGACGAGACGTCAAAAGGACTTTTATGTATGTCTTCACTCTAGGAGTTCATATGCATTTTTCCTTGAAGTATGCAACATGCCCAACCTATATTAAGCTCTTGTATTCAATACATGAAGATTATCAGGAGGTGAATACAAACTGCAACACTCTTCAGACGACGCGTCAGTGCATCCCTCACCGAAATGTTAGAAATCATAAAAAATACATTGCACGCAGAAACATACTTGCAAATATCATTGATGTTTGATAGATCCTTTATAAAAACCAATGCGTCCCTGTTGTTTCTTTCTGCAACCTGCACTACGAAGTGTAGAAACGTCATTCTGGGCTTGTTGGCCCTCGTGTCTAGTAGCTTCGGCAATGTGTTCAGCTTGAATCCAGCTGCGCTGCCTGCGTAACTTCCCTGAAACACGTTCAACCGCTGCGTAAATTATCCTTATGACTAATCAAGATCAAATATAGCAAATTTAAATCCATTACCCTCTGTATACGCCCAGGTCAATATCGTACATACAAATATTAAATCTGCATTGAATGAGTGTCATGAAACAGGATCTTTCTAAGCACATCTTTCCCCTCAGTTGGTATTATATAAATCTGGTGGAAATATTATCAGATACTGTTCTTCCACCGACTAACAAACTCCCTGGTAGCACAGAACCCGCAGGTCCAACACCGACAACATGAAAGCCTGCCACCGGACACGACCCTCAGCCCAATTGTTCTTCCACATATCGCATTTAAGTAAGATGTGGGCGGGGCCTTGATGATGGAAGCAGTGAACACTTCTCATACATCAATAAACCTCTACCGGACAACACAACGCAGCATCCCAGAAGATGGTCGTCTTCAAAAGAGCGTCTTATTTATCTCGCAGAAGGAAGTGGGCTATAAAGCTATTTCGTTATGCAAGAATGACTTTTGCACAGAGATTATTGTTTTGACAGATACTTACGGCATTTAGACAGTTTCCAATCTGTAGAACCAGAGTCAAAAATTCCCTGAGTGATGTGTCCTTTATGAGCTGATCGCACATGTTCACTAGTCCCCGCAGCTGAGGCCTCAGTTCTTCCAGGCGAGTGGGGAATTCTTCTCTCTGAGACCACAGAGACGTTCATCAGTCATAGTGTTAGCTCTCACACATTGCACACAGCATCCCTTTAGCCTCGCAAACATCACATCTGAGCATACACACACTTCATATCCTTGCGATAAGACATAAAAAATCAGAACTTTTAACAAAGTTCACGAGTTACCATGCGAGACGACTGAGCAACATAGGCAGGCAGTTACGTAAGGAGAGCGAGCGACACTGTCTTTTAATGCATTTAAGTAAAACTTGCAATTTTCGTCTGAATTCTATTTATTTATAGTTTATCTGATGATATATGATTTGAAGTTTTCGTGACGACGTAACTCAATAAAAATCTTCTCGGGCGATCGGACGCGTGAAACGTCTGAAAGAAGAAACCGGCGTTTCAGGAACCATCTCTGTCCCCATCACCAGAGATGCTTTTCGTAGCTCAGATTACACAGTGTCAGATGAGAGGATGATAATGAACAGTGAAATGGAAGGAAGCTGTCGTGGATTAATTAAGGTACCATCCAGACATTTGCCTCAAGGGAATGAGGGGAAACCACGCAAAAGCCTCGGTCAGGATATAGCCGGTCTCCAGGCCAAGATCTGATCCTGCGACCTCCTGAACATGAAGCAGAAATTTTAACAGCAACTTTTGTCTGATAAAATCAGCTGCTGTGTTATATAATATGACTACAATACAGCCCAGAATAAGGAAGCAAATTTTCATTAAACACGTTGCAGAAATATTTGTAGAAAAAAAAATTATAAAATAAATAAATAAATAAATGTAGCTTCATATATTCTTAATGCTGGAGGCATCACGAAACAAGTAAATTGCAGTGTCATCTTCTGAAGCAGAATTACCTTCATCGCACGGACAAAATTTGAAACATGGAATTTATTAATTTAATATTTATTTATTCCTGGTTTATTTGATGACTTCAGTCTCTGTAGAATTGAATGATATAATCATTAATTAACTGAGGACATGGAACGGAGTAGTCACCAAACTATAGCCACTCTAGGGATTAATAAATTATTGGACTTCATCCGTCGTCAGGTTTTTAAAAAGAATGGTGATTGAGGTTAGCTCTCTCTATCGAAACCAAATGAGTAGATGCCCCTCTCCCCCTTTCTAACCTGAGGACAGAAGTAGATCCAGCTTCTGAAATGAGGTGTTCTTTTTAAAAACCAGAAGATGGATAAATTTAAAGAATTTATTAATCCCAGTTGTAACACGCCATCGTCAGTACCCTTTGAAATTGACTTACGGGCACTCCGCTAATCAACTGCTCACCGCAAAAGAGGAAGTACAATGTTACCCACCTGTAGCATAGCTTCGACCCTGAGACCATAGCCTGGAACTTTTGACAGCTCATAGAAGTATTTTTCTGCCTCACCAAAGCGTTCAGCCTCATTGGCGTGCGCAGAAAGAAGTTCAAGCTGCAGAAGTGTGAAGTTTCCATTAAGAACTTATCCTTTATATACAGATTTAAAACACAGACTACGTCATGACTCAATTAGACATTAATATATAAAATAAATAAAAAGTAAAGCAGTCCCACTGTACGCCATGTAGGCGCTTGGGGGAGAGGAGGTATAGCTCCTATTCATTCTTAACCTTAGCAATAGAAGGGGGTGAGTGGTCACCATCATGCCCCAGCAGAGCTTACCCCCAGGAAAGGACCCAAATACCAAAAATCCTCTGCCCCTGTCGGGGATCGAAATCCGGCAGCCGTCCAGTCCGCAGTCAGTCCCTATACCGACCGAGCTGCCCCAGCTCCAGACTTACAACATGCTACCAATAAGAATCTGTAAAAGTTGTACCTCGTGACGATCTGGTAGTAGACGCTGCAATCCTCGAAGCTTTTCTGTGCCCAGCTCCCTACTAGATGCATCCTGGACTGCTTTCACAACAGCAGAACCACGACCTTTGATCTGGCGCAGACAGATGTTCACCGCAAGACTGCGTTTGCTGTCAAGGAGGTTCAGCTCCACGCTGATGGGCCGTGCCACTGGTGCTGACACGGGACGCTTGCTGCTATCCCCAGATTTCTGGCAGAACAGTTCCTCTAGCTGTTGCAAGTCCAAGCGCTCAGGTTTCGGCAGAGTCTCCACACCCGTCCACACGCAGTCACCTGAAAGAAATTGGACTCGACATTCATGATAAAAGCTAAAATTAATTCCAAGCATCTGCAGTTCATAGGAGAAAAAGGACAGTTTTCATAGAAAGATATGCAGCATTCACACAGAAACGGTACCTGTTAAAGTTTTGGGGATCTTTGTCCAGTTGATAGTCTTCATCTTACGTCGAGAGCCATGCCAGGTATTGAATTTGTTGTCTGGACTCCAACTATCAGAATCAGTGAGGTCACAGGGCAGAGAGCTTCGTATATTCGGCATTGTCATGTAGCCACTGGACTGTGATGAAACAGAGAATGGCAAGAACGGTGGTGGACCAGACATTACCATCGGCAGAGGTGGTGGGGGTGGACCAGACATTACTGATGGCAAAGGGGTTGGAGGAGGAGGTCCAGACATTGCCGATGGCAAAGGTGGTGGAGGAGGTCCAGACATTGCCGATGGCAAAGGTGGTGGAGGAGGTCCAGACATTGCCGATGGCAAAGGTGGTGGAGGAGGTCCAGACATTGCCGATGGCAAAGGTGGTGGAGGAGGTCCAGACATTGCCGATGGCAAAGGTGGTGGAGGAGGTCCAGACATTACTGGTGGCAAAGGGGGCGGAGGAGGTCCAGACACTACCATGGGCAGAGGTGGTGGGGGTGGACCAGACATTTCTGGTGGCAGAGGAGGTGGATGAGGAGGACTGGACATTACTGGTGGCAAAGGGGGTAGAGGAGGAACAGATATTTCCGTGGACTGAGATGATGGTGAATCAGATGCTGTCAAAGACAGATTGCGTGGTGGCAGATCAGGTATGATTTCAGGTGAATGAGGATTTTCAAGTAAGGATGAACATGATAAAAGATCAGATATGTCACACTGAGGACTAAGGGACTGGGCAGGAGACAGACTGAGTACTCCTGATACAGGGAGATGGGGAGGCGAGGACATTGTTTCTGCAGTTTGTAACGACAATGAGGTTGTAGCTGCAATGTCCGATGCAGGAATCGAATGAGACTCTGACAATAGCGCAGTTTCTGAAACAGGTGACTGGGGTGACCATGTACATGTTTCAGAAGTATTTGGTGACGATGATTGCAAAGGTCTGAGGTCTTTTTCAGGAGGACGTGGAATAGATGACTCAATTTCTTGTACAGGACAGATATTGACCTTAGTTTTCACATCTGTATTCTGATACAAACTGTCTGACCCATCAACCTGGACCGCAATTTCTACTGATGCTGGTCTGAGAAGTTGTCCACGGACCCAGCCTCTGGCAGGTGTCTGTGTGCTCTCGCTGCGAAATGTCTTTGTAGCAACGAAGTTCCTCACTCCTCGCATACTGCCTTTATTTGCCGAACTATCTTCAGCTGATATCTCTTCCAGCGCTTCCCAGATGTGATCTCTGCAGCATATAAGCAACATTCATGAGCATGAGATGCCAGATAAAAATATCTCAAATGTTTAACTCACATTTTCCTGGGAACTGATTCTGACATAGTAACATCCACAGTCGTTGAAGGTTGATTTAGGTTTGCAAATTCTGACATTCTACCTGGGTTAACTTTATAAAAATGTAATTTCTTTATCTTACAAATTCATGGTAAAGTATTTTATCCCACTACTTACAAAGTCACTCTAACTCCTATTTCTGAGAAAATTACAGTCAATTAAATTAAATTAAAATTAAATCCGTGGCGTAACAGCCTTCTGATGGCCAAAGCCGACTAGCTGACTGCTGGTCTCACGTTCACATGCCTAAGCAGAGGTGAACGTTCATCCAACCAGATACAGGGTGACGTGTGGTCAGCACGATGAACCCCCAGCCATTGCTAGTTTTCACGACCGGATTACGCTACTCATTGTAGCTCCCCAATTTCCTCACGATGCTGGGTTGGCACCGGTACCATACACCGGTCAAAATCTCATGAGAAAATTTCTTCTCCCCCGAGACTCGAACCAGCGAGCATTCTGTCAGAAGCATGATGCCTCAGACCGCGCGGCTATGGCGCAGGACGAAAATTAGAGTCCGACACATAGAAATCTAAGAGTCTAAATTTGCTATATACTGTAAACAATTTGAAATTTTTATTTCTCATCACGAAATTCTGATAAAGTAACATATAAATAAACATGTAGGAACAGTAGCACCACTCAAGAACTGCAATGGAATCTGCGGTAAAATCTTCTCAGGTGACGAGCCATGACAATCTGGAGCAGACGTCAATCCAGACCAAAGATTCTCTGACGACAAAAGCAGACATCTTCGAAACATTGGACCTCTGCTATGAACTGACCAAGCTGACGACCTTAAAGATTTTATTCCTTCTAGTGGTCACAAGAGCTTCAAGTCTTGTAAAAAAATCTCCCAAGGCCAACACAGAACTAAACATTCTTATACAAAGATTCAGGATAACATTTCAGTAGCATTTTTCAAAACACTAATTTTTTTTTTTATAAATATATGTTTTGTCTATATTTAAAGCACAGTCCAACATGACCTTAGCTTACGACATCAACTGATGCACTGACCACTTGGTATATATGTTTCTAAACACGCGATAAATTACTGTAACTGAGTGACACTTACGTGGCCGGCTGAGATGTATCTAACTGAGACAGATTCAGCAACATGGAATGAAAGTGTAGTGCCTGAGGAGAATCTGCAATCTGAAATAAATCAAATTACACGATACGATGTATTATGTTTACTTCTGTGACAGCTTCTGTTCGTATATTTTCATGGTATCCGCCTGTCTGGCCACGTGCACGTAAGTAACATTTCATAGAGATTCATATCCTCATTCTTTATAAACTTTAATTAATTCATACACATCCCCATAACATATTCCTTAAAGACAAATGTTAATATCGCCCCGTCTACCAAGCGATCCCTTCCCTGCAGGGTTCCTAACCAAAATTTTGTAGTTTATCATCGTCCCGATGCATGCCACATGCCCGGCCCACCTCACATTCCTTGATATTATGAACCTAATATGCGGTGAAAATTTCCAAATTACGGAACTCTTAATTTCATAATTTTCTCCTTTAAAGAACGATGAACCCCTCACCTTATTGGAGATGATGTCGAAAAGTTGTTGTGGTGAAAGGCTTCTGGGATCCTTCTCTAACTCAGATTGATCGCGGTGCAACTTTTCATCAAACACTTCTACCTGAATCTGCACCAGCTCACTTTCAGAGTTCCGTAATTCAGACAAGACGCCACCTAAACCAAGGCCTGAAAGAAAGACACAACTCTGAATCAGATACAGCCGATATCTGGACGGATAACGGAGTCAACATTTCACGTAACGCAAAATCAACATTTGTGCGGTTCGTCAAATGGAAAATAAGGAAGACTTGAGCGCAGAAGTTTCAGGCGTGAGTAGCCCAAGAATGAAGATGCACAACTGGAAGAAGGAATGCTGTCGGAAATTATGCTAATGGCGTCCCACCACAAGTTACAACACTTAGTAATAAAATCTAACAACTTTCTCACAAAGTCTGTCGGTAATGGCATTTTACAATTACGAATCTACGATTATGATTACTTAAGAATGGATCAGGCAATCTCATTTCGTGGTTGAAATTAAGCTAGTAATATCAGCCTAAAGCTGACTTAACTCTGCAGACTGTAGCAAAAATCTGAAAAGAGTATTTAAAAATAATATTATGAAGTCACATGTATTTATTCAGGAACACACCTTTTTAAAAATCAGTGGTATTATTATATCAAATAGCCCCCCCCCACCCCCCCCAATAAAATTACTCCGTAGTTCTCGGGCCAGGCCACATTCGATTTGGCAGTCAGGTAAATATCTGGCGTGGGAGCCATTTTAGAGACACCGACTCTTGTGGATGGAAAGTTCTAATTACTAATGATCCTTCCTTGGTGCACATGGCCGTCCATTACCACTAATTCTTAATATTAAATCTTGGTACCATTTGCACCAAAAATTTTGGAGGTATGGCAGAAACTGTCGTTCTTTTAAATCTATTTTAACGCACATGCAACACCCCACCCCTTTTCACCACTCACTGACAGCACAAAAAGATGTCTGGCGACTACAGAACTGCAAATCTCTCGCATTTATCCGGGGATATATTTATTTAGGAGCCACGGTGGTCTAGCGGTTAGAACGCTGGCCTTGTAATCCTGGGGTCTCGGGTTCGAA